GCACGCACGCACGCACGCATCCACCCCGCAAGCACACGAGCGAGCGCGCAAGCACTCACACACACGCACGCACGCACGCACGCACGCACGCACACACACACACACACACACACACACACGTAAGTACGCACACACACACACACATGCACACCCATACGCTCATACACACGTACATACACACGCACGCACAAACAGTCATGTGCTGCATGCTACGAATGAGTTCTCTACTACTTGACGAACTTAATCCGCTTTGGAGATTTGCAAAAATACAAATAGACTGCTAGCTATATATAATCATATGAAGTCAATTATTACAGTAAATTTGTAGGATTTCTAATTAAAAACTATTTTGCTTTGGTTTCCAAAATTATTTCAGGTTATTAGGTTTAATACAAGTTATATAGCAATGTTATTTAAAAATTCCAACGCTAAGAATAAATATTGACAGACAGATGGATACGGATGAATAGATGGATGGACAGACGTATGGAAGAACATGCTCCTTCAAACACGCCACAACAGTCAGCAGGTAATTAAAATTTCCCAGCAAGCAAATCACGAAGTTCAGTTTGACAAAATTGTAAAAAGTTCGAACGAAAAAATCGCTAACGCGCTCATTAAGAATAAACGCACACGCGACTGCCAACAAATGAGTCGATACATAAAACACACGCTGCGGGCCATAAAACCAAAGGAAGACGACATAGCACAAGTGGCGGCGTCTGCAGCAGCAGCAGCAGCAGCGCTATCAATATTCATGCAGTAGCCCATGCATTCAACGTTACATTACCGAAATGCAACACGATATTTCAGTCGTTACTGCCATTATACGTGTAGACAACGCATATTCCGCTATAAATATGATTGCCAAGAGACGCACGCGAACCTATTGTTATATTCCCCTACACGCGCGTATCTCATTATGAGCCTTACACGCGTTCCCGCGGACGCAGCTACGGCAATGTTCAATGCAGGGACATGTCAACATAACCAGGTTCCACAGCCTTTGTGATTAGGAGTAGACAGCGAGGCGTTCGCATGACTGCAGCAGCGTGTAATGTGAACGCAGGTACGCAGCCATCAATAAGGAGTCGGCAGCACGATATACGCCGACTCTGCGCAAACTAGCAGCCGCAGCGTCAGAAAAAAATAAAGATATGAAAACGTCCCCTATACCTGCACGCGCCACATATACATAATCCCGGGAAAATCCAATTCCGCGTCCCGCCGCTTTTCGCAAAATAACTAGCAAGTGCCAGGAAATGATTTATTATGATAATTAGATGAGCTTCCCACGACTATCGACGCGCGAGAGCGTGCGCGCGCAAGGACGCCGCTGCTATTCACGTAACTAATCCTCGACAAAAAATGTGCGAAAAATATATGCACTCAGTCCTGCGCTAGAAATTCCTTTAACGAATAGAAAGCTACGTAGGTGCAGTAGCACGTCAGCGCTAATGATTTCGAGGCTTTGCTGACTAGCGCGTAGGTTTTAGTTGAGGAGAGGAGGGGGGTGCAGTTCTGAAAGTAAATGGCATTCTAGTAGTAGTAATTTCTACCTCGCCTCGTTTCGCATCCTATTCCCCCCTCCCCCAACGACGAATCTGCGACTCTGCCAGGTGCGCGCCGATCAAAGCAATGATAGTAACTGCCTACGCGCAAAAAGGAACCGCCAGAGGAAGCTAGCCGAGGTTATTGCAGCAGTTGTTACCGCAGCGGCGTATAGCAAGCGGGCAGCTGTTTGCATGAAAGCCGCCGCACCCAGACCTCGTTAGTTTAACAGTAATTGCGATACGAAGAAACCCGTGTACGCGGTAGTTTAGCACATTGTTGTAAATTGGTTGCACCAGGCACGCCCGTGTGCTGCTTGAACGTTCTGGAAGTCAGTTGTTGGTTGTGGTGGCGCGTACACGGGCTTGCGCGCGCGTGTGTACGCGTTTCTTTGTCTTTGTGTCTACCCCATGGGATGATAACGTTTATCCGTCTTTTGATATACAAGTTTGCAAATTAATTCATTTAATTATTTATTAATATTTAATTATTTATTTATTACGTCCCTCTAGCGTCAAAACAACTTTACAGCGAAACACGCATCCGTTTTTAAACCATCAATGAACTCACCCCCCCCCCCCCCGCCAAGCGTCAGTACGCACCGGCGACCATCAGCTGCGCCGCACACACCGACAGACAAACATTGCCTCGCATCCGCGCGCGCACGCATCGCGGCCGATCCGATTCCTCTTCGCGTTTTTCCTCCTCTTTCCGGCTCGCCGCTTTCATGGCATCAATTATACAAAGCTGGCGCCGCGCCGTCAATGTTTGACGCTTGGAAACCCTGCGCGCCGCCGCATAGTCGTAAAACTCGGTGACGAGCCGTACGCGGTCATGAGCCGCCGTTCCTCACACAGTCACCGCGCGCGCCGTACATCCGCGGACGTGTCACTCCGTCGGCGATACGTCGTGCGACCCAATTGCCGCCGGAAAGCGACCGCGTCGCCGCTCCACCCAACGAGCCATCGGCCGGCACGCCCGACCGGCCGCATATCGCCTAACGACGAGCGTTATCAACGAAGGAGTCATTATTAGCTAATGGTACGGAGCGCGCGGGGAGCAGGCGCGGGTGTGGGGCACGGTGCAGGAGACGGTCAGTAAGAAAGGCACGTCGTCGGCCCGCCTAGTGCAACAAACCACACCAACCGCATTCAGTCATCAGACGACAGCGCTTGCCTATACGATGCAGTGTGGAAGAGGGGAGAGGAGGAGGTGAGGTGCGATTTGCACAGTAGGGCAGCGCCTACGCTCTACGAACAAGGCACACGGGCTAGCAGAAGCATACAAAGCACCCACCGGCCGGTCACACGCAAGCACAGCAGCCGCAGCAGCCTCCACCGCCCCCCCCCCGCCCCGGCGACAAGCACGCGCACGCTGGCCTCGCGCCGCCGAGCAGCGTAAGAAGTGAAGCCATCGGCAGCGGAGGATGTGGCGACATGCGGGGAGGGGATGCTCAGATGCGTGCGTGCGTGCGGGGCAGGGGGCATGCACTAGCGCCGGCGCACGCACGCTAACGCCGCTACGTACTCGAGGATGTGCGAGTCTGCGTGCTCGTTCCCATCTAGTCGGTGCTTTGCATACTTCATCAGGCACGAGTAGTAACGATGAACTTACTCTGTTTCCTGCGTTTCTACATTGCACTTGTACGACGCGTTGTAAAATAAACATATATCTGCAAACTGTCTAACTGCAAAAATAAAAAAGAAAGAGCACACGTATAAAGAAGACATGCCAAGCAACACGATTCGCTACAAACAACAGCTACCACCGCTAGGGCACAAGAACTTCCGACAGCGAACGAGAGGTGTGTTCTCGCTCCCGTGCGACGAAAAAGTGACGTACGTGACAGCACAAAATCAACAACAAGAAACGACGTACATGCACGACCCGCATCCCGCCTGTCACACGCAGAGCTGCAGGGACGAGCCGCGTGCGAAGACAAGAAGGCACTTTGCTATTCGATAACTCTGTAGCGAGCGTATCACCGCCTATAGCCACGAGCACCATGCGACTTCTAGAACGCAGGCGGTCTCACGCATCGGAACAAAGAAATCGCATAGAGAGTGCCCTTCTTGGCTTTCGACAAACAAACAATTCATACAACACCGAATGTCAACATTGTTGCAGCAATACGGCCATACAGGTTGTTTCCATTGCAACAATGGTTGCCTTGGCAACTTACTCGCTCTCCAATTCTGCAACGGTGCATTTGTACTGAGCCGTAGAAAACAGGCAAATGTCTGCAAACTGACGCACTGCACGCATAACAGAAAAAACACATGACAATTACTGGAAGCTATTCCTAGTAAAAAGGGAGTATACTTCCTATTAAGTCTTTTTTATTAGATAGCCAAAACATATCTATGAAAACCAGGATAAGCTGAACCTTACATATGACAGGTGGCCGTGGTCATGCAGCTAGATGATCCCATAGCTTGGATAAAGGTTTTAATTTTGTGATGGCAGATAATTGCATGACCGTTTGTGTAATGCATTACCGGCAATCAAGACTGATATTTTCCCCATGCATAATCTCTTTTGAAATGTTAGGAGAAATCAAGGTTTCCTCACGAAAAACAATTCTTACCAGGAAATATCACATGTAGCCTCCATGTAATTTTAAAAGATTTAGTATCGTCATGAAGTTTTGACATTGTCTCATAATCGTTTAGGATTAAAATGAGATAAATTCATACTTTTGAGTAGTTTGAATCATTGTGGCATGATTTCCACGATGTGTGTGCATGCGTGCGTGCGTGCGTGCGTGCGTGCGTGCGTGCGTGCGTGCGCGTGGGCACGTGCTGCGAGCGTGTCACTAGCCTACAAAACTACACAGAAACGTATGATTCTACAGATCTTTTGATAAATGGCACTTTTAACGAGAAGTAAGCAGTCACACTGCAGCTGGTTTTGCGGCTCAAATATCACACTAGCAATAAAAACACTAAAAATGGCACTAAAATCTGATTTAACGTGAAACGATAAATATAGTTTTGCAGAACACTGCTTTATATTACCCCAATTATAACTACACGAATGCTCACACCACATTCACCATTCGGGTGTTTATTACCCAATAAGCTTTCTAAGCGTTTCCTGTGTCGAGTTCAATACTCAACTGAGGATATTTTTAAGAATGAGCTGTCACCATTAATTCTGGCAAGACACTCTCTGAGATGACAGTTATTGGTGTGCACATATGCATCGTTATTTACTAGGTAACAATCACACTAGCAACGACTCGTCATTGAGAAAACTGACAGGTAACAGTGGGGACCTCATCACGTTCAAGAATGTACATAAGACAACATACACAGCGTCAAAATATAAATACCTGTGATTTTGATTTTCTTCACTGTTTTGTTGGAATTGTTTGTGACCTGAACATTTACGGCTATAGACTCTCCGTGGTAGTACATCTGCAATGCACAACGTGTTGGTTAGTCACAGATTTGCTCTGTACCTGCGTGACAGGTGAGGTAGTGGTCACTAAGTCTCCCTACCTGGTGTACATAGATGAGGTATGCCGTCACACTAAGGTCTCCGCCACCTGGTGTACAGGTGAGGTAGGTCACTAAGTCTCCCCACCTGGTGTACAGATGAGGTATTGGTCACTAAGTCCCCCTACCTGGTGTACAGATGAGGTAGTGGTCACTAAGTCCCCCTACCTGGTGTACAGGTGAGGTATTGGTCACTATAAGTCCCCCTACCTGGTGTATAGGTGAGTGAGGTATTTGTGAAGGATGTGCTACTTCCACACATGAATTGTTGGTTCATCTACAATGCACTGTGCATAAAACGGCGGAATTTCACTCGGGCGAGTGTGCTCCGCGCCCAACAGTTCACAGACGCACGCACACTTAAAGCCTGTATTACGAGATTTTGCTCAGAAACACTCAATCCGAAAAAATATAGTCTCACCTGACAGCGAAAAATATCACTGATTACACCAACATTAAAAACACCAAGATTTTATGCAGTTATAGCATAGAAAAATGGATTGACCACATCATACCAGCTCCAGATATTATCAAGAGCTAATAATACCTAGAGTGTACAACGGGAAAACGGGAAAATAGTGCTATTTCACGACTACATTATTCTACTTTGCCTGCGAGTCTAGAATAATTTCATATATTGCATTAAGCAGAATTCCTTGCTCTCTACAACAAGACCAACCGCTTGTCAATACGATACTCCTAGGCTGAGATATCGGCTCCTAAACCTCCCCTCCCACATGCCTTACGCCGCTTTGAATCCACATAATTCAGCAACCTCCACGCGTCTAAGCATTTTGGCTATCGTTTCCGTCACCGCTTGGAGCGCTGAATAATTGATGTCACATGCCCAAATTTGGTACTATTACTACACTGAGTAACTGAGCTGCGTTGTAAAAACTTGATGGAGCCGGCTCCATCATGACGGGCATTAGCCGTGCTAGGAAAGATAATGGAAGATAAGGGCATAGGCGAAGCACCGTTCATTCATAAATTTATCACGGAAAAACCGAACTTTCACGAAGCAATGCTTAGACGCGTGGAGGTTGCTGAATTATGTGGATTCAAAGCCGCGTAAGGCATGTGGGAGGGGAGGTTTAGGAGCCGATATCTCAGCCTAGGAGTATCGTATTGACAAGCGGTTGGTCTTGTTGTAGAGAGCAAGGAATTCTGCTTAATGCAATACCATGAAATTATTCTAGACTCGCAGGCAAAGTAGAATAATGTAGTCGTGAAATAGCACTATTTTCCCGTTTTTCCGTTGTACACTCTAGGTATTATTAGCTCTTGATATTATCGTGTCCAGAGAATCCAAAATACAAATAGCGCCTTCAAACCAAGTGCATGTAATTAAAAAAAAAGGGCGTGCAATTCTGTGTGGTAAATATTATTGACTTTTTATGTCAATAATTCACAGCACTTTATGTCATTGTCATTCCAGTGTTACTATATATGACTGGTAATGCACAAGGTTTTCTAATAACAGACTTTACGCGGCATTAGTACTACACTCTTGTTACGCTAGTATATCCCTCTGTGTTTACACTCTGACCTGATTTCTGCAGTGCGACTATTTTCATTCACCCTGGTTGATGTCTCGCGCTACCGCGAGAAAGTCCGAGAGATGGCAACATAAACCAAAATCAGTAAATAAACTTGTAATCGTGCATGTTTTGGTGAATACGAAGGTTCTAAGACATTTTATCGTTACTCGAGACAATTGCTGTTACTCAAGCAATAACGGTAGGTATCACGAAAGTGGGGAAAACCCTGGAAAACTCTCGTAATAATTAATTTAAAATAATTACGAAACAATTTCTGCCTTAATTCGAGCTCGAACTCGCGTTACTAAGCCCGAAACCATTACTCGGCTTTTACGGCGCGCTCGAGAATTGCTCGGAACACTCTCCCGGCAGAATCCGCTAGCGATTTCATCCTCCAGCCAACACCACTCTGCCGCGATGCTCGAAATGGGCATCGATGTAATCCCTCCCACCCCAGCACATTGAAAAGAACCCCGCTAACTCTTCAGCACGCACCGAACTGAAAAATCTCTCTCGCGCGGATTCTACAGGGACGACGACGTTGTGCACGCCGCATCCAACTACACGACACCGCACTCTTTATCGTGGACGGGGGGGGGGGGCAGGAGGTGACGAGTGCCGGCTGTCGTACTCACCCCCTTGTCCAGAGATGCCTCTAAGTGTAGTGGTCCCGGGCTCATCATGAAGTCTTTCGTGACCTCGGCGTTCGGCTGGGGGCCGGGGTCCTCGGGCGCATACATTACTTTTCTAATCGCCAGCCTCACGGAGTTCCTGCGAACGCGAGACGACGACTACGATCACGCCGTGCATCGTACAGCGCATCGCGACGTCTCTCGCCGCCGCTGCCAACACTTCGCGGAAATAATGTCATCATCGCTGTGTGCCAGCAGTGTACGCCATGAGCGGGTTCGCATTGTCTCGAATTCATATGGATTAGGCAAACTGCGAGTCGGTAATTTTGTTGCTGTAACTTGGAATGAATTGCGTTTGTCACTCAGACGTTTAATTTTCACAGAAATGAGATCATTTTCGTCTCGTAAAACTATCACGTTTACATATTTTAAGAATCATGTTTAAATTTTTTTTTTAGATCCGGTGCAATAGTTGCTAATCAATTTCGTCTAATTGGTAAACAATTTCACCTTTTGATGAGCAAAGTATTTTTCAAATTTATAAATCCATAGCGTACACTGTACGTGATGTCTTTATAAGTACATTACAAATACAATTACCAACAAGTACAATTAATAAACTATGATGGTTATAATGCTAAATTACTACGCTAAATTAATGTAAAGTACGCTTCAGATGATGCGAGTGCATGGTTCATAGAGTAGAGAAATTTGGGTAACACAAAATGATGACTTGGTTTTGTCAAATGTTACGTGATGAAAAACCATGCAATACTAGAAATCAACCTTGCGAATTGTCAGTTCATGCATATATATAAATATAAAATTCCAATTTGAGTTCTCCTATAGTGATGTAGTATGTGGACCTTTATTGTCTTATAGTATAGAATCATATACTGTTGTAATATGGGTTCGTGTGGTCCTATATACAGACCTAAAATACTTGTTTGCACATTTCTTGTATATGGACATATACCTTGTCATACGCGCACGTGCACCGCGTGCACGCACGCACGCACGCACGCACGCACGCACGCCCTCACAGACAGTAGACACGTTGTCCTGCAGGCTGCAAGCCACATGGTAAGTCTAATCTCATATCAGACTGACCTTTTGTGAGGTTTCTCTTCCACGGACTCGCCGACGTAAGTCTTCAGCTCGTAGTCGACCCCGCATGGCTTCCCCGTGTCTCCCGGTGCCGGCTGTAGAGTGACGGACGCCGGCGCGTACGACGGCAACTGCAGAACAGGAGCAAACACGCAGCAGTGAACATCACACACGTCTTGTGTAAAAGAACGTCTTGTGTAAAAGTGGAAACTCTCCCAGAACGATTTGTCCCTGAAAGCATTCGGCCTCCCACAGTTTCAATGGATGTTGTTGGTAATTGGAAGATCTATCTAATAATTAGTCATATTTCGAGTTTATTTCAATTATCTTGTAGGTCATGATTATATCATATATGCCTATTTCTCAGATATCCTGTTCTCTTTTCCACAATCGAATCTCATGATTTTGACATACAGTAATATGCGCTTAGACATGTAATTTTTCATTTTAAATACAAACGATACGCATATATGTACATGCATGAGCAAATATACAACACACGCTCCCACGCACGCACGCACGCATGCACACACATATATACACGTATAGCCAACATGATTATAATGTAGGAGTCTGCAGCAATATCATGCTTAACAATGTGCATGTGACAATGCATCCGGCATATCTCTACTCTTTGCAGCTGTAAAAGTTAGTTTTAATAATCCCACGCTTGTGCCTATAGAAAGTATAGTTAGATTTGCATGGTTATGGGAAATTGAAATATTCATGAAGGCGATTTATTCAACATATTTAAGGAGTTTATGAGCATAGAATGGCTTGGAATAGATCGTTTCTGCATTAGTAATGAACTAATGCATCGTGGTTAATAAATACCATTCTTTTTAAAATAGAAAATGCCAACTTGTTTTTAAACATGCAATGTACGCATTATTAAATGCATTATTTATTGTTAGGGATCGTGCATCTTGTAGACTTAGATAGACTCCCGCTGTGAATTTGTCAACGATTACGGACCTATTTGTACCGTCGTCAGCTAACTTTGAACACTGATAGTTCTATCCTGATTATTATGTGCAGCAAACTGGAAACTATTGTTTTGTATGTATTGCTCGCTGCATGAAAGCGTAGGAAACAAGTTTGAAGAGCCTTTGTTTGACATCACGGCAGTACATATGATAGCCACGATCCTACAACCCGACCGATTCCCCGTAGTCACACGTGAAATCTCAACTATCATCAAGCAGTGTCAACTAGAAACTAAGCTATTTTCAAAAGTCAATCACAACACCCTGTCACTATGACCGCTTGTTCACCACCGCACACATGGTATATAATCTGCCCACACACGTTTGCGTAAAGGCACGCGCACACACACGCACATACTAGCCGAGCCACGGTCGATACGTAACACAAATAGACAGCTATAGAAATATAATGTGGCATGTGCTCAACATACTTGAAAAAAGAAGGGGTAAGCATTGGGGCCGAGCTTCTTGATCAGCCGTTCCTGTAACCTTGTGAGTGGCTTCTGCTGCGCTGGATCAGGCGGGTACACCTACGCACAAAAACACGGGTTAGCAGACGAAAAATTCAACTCGCAACAAGTTTTAGGATCTCCAAATACTTTTGAAATTATAATTATTCGAAAATTACTAGTTAAAAACATTAGTATAACTAGAAAGGGCAGTTGTCGCCAACTACATGTATCCCCCATGATCTAGTATGAATGAAATATCTCTGTAAGGACGTAGAAAGTAGGTAAGGTAATGGTTAAATAAGTCACAAAGACAAAGGTTTGTTACACAACTCATCTGCCTGAGATGTGCAAGTATGTTAAAATTGGTTGCCTTAGGGGTTTTGGTATGCGACACACCTTCTCCCCAAGATGTGTAAGTATACAAAGTTTGCTCGCGCTAGGTCAATTAGGGGCCGAGTTATAGAGCAGAAGGGAAATATGATGAAGGTCAAGGTCAAGGTCAAATAAAGGTTGCAGTGACCTGGTTTCGGTACGCGACACACCTTCTCTCCAAGATGTGTAAGTATACCAAGTTTAGTCGTGCTAGGTCAATTAGGGGCCGAGTTATAGAGCGGAAGGGAAATATGATCAAGGGTCAAGGTAAAGGTCAAATAAAGGTCGTAGTGACCTTGGTTTTGGTATGCTGCGTACCTTCTCCCCAAGATGTGTAAGTAGACCATGTTTGGTCACGCTAGGTCAATTAGGGGTCGAGTTATAGAGCGAAAGGAAAAGTGTCTGCGGCAGCGGCGGCTGGACAGACATGAAACCATAGTATCCCCGCCGACTTCGTCGCGGGGGATACAATTATGAAAATATAAGTTTAATTTAAATATTTCTTTAACCATTTTAATGGATATTGGGTATTTTTAAATTGTAAATTTTGTAAATTGGTTTCGTGTAAATAAAAATTTTAAACACTGAAAACTAGCTAATATCTAACAAAATGATCTTTGAACATTATTAAACAAATATTGTTTTAAACAAACTAATCTGGGCTCTGGGAGGATTGGTTTTGCGGGTCCACCCACACATATACCATTCACTTGACGACAAATTCACTAGAGAAACATCGAAATTATTGCAGCTGATAAAACCAAAACGAAAATGGCCGCAGGTTACCGGTGTTACCAGTGCATCTTCACAGATCACTCTTGCAATGGCCTACCTGCATGGAGGCCAAGTAGAGGTCCTTTCTGAAGGTGAGGCCAAGGACATCCAAGTCTTCCCTTCCATAGCGGAAAGCGGCGAGCACATGGGCATAGACCTTCCTGTCTTTCAAGTACTCTGGGTCAATCAGAACCACTCCATCTGCAAAAGCAAGCAATTGGTGCTGAGTGATGCGGCTAGATAGGAAAACCCCGCAGTATCAACTATCATATGCTGAAAAAACCATGTACAACAACGTGAAATGTGCTATTCCATTAGTGTAAAATCGATATGCGCTTTGAAATGCACACCATTTACATATCTCCCACACCATGGGTGGCAAATTGCTGCATGTATGTCGACTTCTCTTTCCCATTTTCCAATTTATTCCAAGACACTTGAGTACCCAATATTTTATTCTAGCATACAGCCCCTCCGCTTGGCCTAAACTCGCCTCCACAGTCTATTTCTCTTTCTGTCTCCCTCCCTTCCTCTCCCTCCCTCACTCCCTCTCCCTCTCTCCCTCCCTCCCCCATCTCTCTCGCTTTCTCTATCTCTCTTTTGCTCTTTTTCTCCCACTTTCTATCTCTCGCTCATTTTCGCCAATATTTTCTTATATATTTTCTTCCCTCCCTCGCTCGCTCTCCTTCCCTACCTACCCCCTCTCTCTATCTCTATCTCTCGCTTTTTCTCCCACTCTCTCCTTCCTCCCTCTCTCTCTCTCTCTCTCGCGCACGCGCGCTCACTTTCTCCCTCTTTATCTCTCGCTCTTTTTCTTCCACTTTCTCCCCTCCCCTCTTTCACTCTCTCCCGTCTGTGTTCTTCCTTCGTTAATTATAACGTCACATATCCGGAAGCTTATTACACGAGCTAACGCTGACACGAGCCCAGGCCACACGTCAGACGCTCGCCGGCCATTCCCCACGGCACGGGGGGATTTTACCGCGCCAGCAAATTGCGAGGCAGAACATTTGCGCAAGTAACAAAATTAATGTGAAACGTTGGCGAAAACGATGAGGGGTCATCTCCATACACTGCACATGAATGCGCTCCTCGTGGCATAGCTAGGCAGGTGGCACACTGACATATTCACGAAGGTACGAGCGCACTCTATGATCAGATACGCAAGCGGGTAGGCAGTAAGGCAAGCAGGCAGGTAGACAGGTAGACAGGTAGGTAGGCAGGTAGACAGGTAGACAGGTAGGTAGTGAGGCAGGTAGGCAGTGAAGCAGGCAGCCAGGCAGCCAGGTAGGCAGGTAGGCAGGCAGGTAGGCAGGCAGGCAGGCAGGCAGGCAGGCAGGCATGCAGGTAGGTAGTGAGGCAGGTATGCAGTGAAGCAGGCAGGCAGGCAGCCAGGTAGGCAGATAGGCAGGCAGCCAGGTAGACAGGTAGGCAGGCATGCAGGCAGGTAGGCAGGTAGGCAGGCAGGCAGGTAGGCAGGTAGACAGGTAGGTAGTGAGGCAGGTAGGCAGTGAAGCAGGCAGGCAGGCAGCCAGGTAGGCAGGTAGGCAGGTAGGCAGGTAGGCAGGCAGGTAGGCAGGTAGGCAGGCAGGCAGTACGGTATTCAGACAGTGAGGTAGGTAAGCAGGCAGGCAGGCAAACAGGCAGACAAGTGCTAGGTAGGCAGGAAGTGACAGGCAAGCAGAGAAGTAAGCAGGCAGGCTGAAGACGGAGAAGCAGGATGTGAGACTGGCAGTAAGGCAAGCAGGCAGGTAAGTGAGCATGAGTGGCCAGGAAGGTAGTGAGGGTAGGAGGCAGACCGACAGTGAGACATGGAGGTAGGCACTAAGACAGGTAGGCAGGCAGGCAGGTAGTGAGCCAGGGAAGCAGGGGACAGGTAATGAGGAAAGCACATACTGAATCAGGCAGGCAGGCAGGCAGGCAAGCAGGTAAGCAGGCAGCCACATGACCCAGTTGGCGTTTGAATATACACTACACATCTATGATCTACATTCACATTCGCTCCCCTGTTAATGCAGGGAGCTCCGATAAACTTCCTTGAACGCAGGAGCCAGAGAGCAGGTAAATGCAACTGAAAGACGCCAACATGAGATAGCAATAACGAGAGTCGACGATGTGAAAAGTTTCTATCGTAAATAATAAACCAAAAAATGCACTGATCGGAAGTGCATTATATTTCACCAGAAATCTGAGCCACAGTCGCGATTATAAGTCCTGCCATTGATATAACCACATTACAAGTGAAAGCAATGCATATTTGATAAACGTACACGTGGCAATGGATTATAACTTATAAGGTACTTATTTATGCTAAAATCTTTCTAATTAGTAATCCACAATCTTTTGTTTTACCTATTAATGGCATGGCATTCTTGTCTTGAACAAATTTCTTCGTTAAGAAATTGACAACATACATGCTTAGTCGGATATATTCTAAAATATCACTATAGCCACTCCACATGTTTCATTCCCATCTAAATGCCACTTTGCAATATATTGCAATAAGGTATATATACCTTATTACGTACACTTAGACGCCACCTGCCTATTCCTTTCAGGCACTACACGTAAATGTCACATATTATGCGCAACCACTCACTCATACAACTAAATGTTAACTAGCCATATGACAATATCACTAATCTGCCACAGCCTACAGCTACAGCTATATACCTACGAGTAATAACCTTCGTCTGATTAACACTTCTTCATAATATCAATGTACATACACTAGTATACCTGGAAGATAAATTTACTTACTGTACATATTATTACTATATTTTCATTGATGCCTGCCTAATGTCATATCATCAGACAGAAAAATCTAACTGTCTGATCAAAATTTCTGCGTCTTGTGCAAGAATGCAACGTTCTAACATCTTCGCAACACACCCGCATGGATGTCCTGTAATACACTATAATGTATTTAGATACCTATCGGGGTCATCATCAGAATGATCTATTACATAATTGGTTATATAACCTTTTTTTAAATCTACATTATACATACTCTATTATATAATGATAATAATACGCTCTGGCGTTGTTCCTCAAGTTACAAATTCACTTTCGAAGCAAATGCGAAAATGGCCTGGCGTCCACATGAACTAGGCTAACTGCAGCCTGTATGAACTCTTTTGCGTTCAAGTGCGGCATAAAGCGAGTAACGTTAATAACGCGACGTCAAGCTAGCTTTCAACACACGCAATTAGAATCCAGCTCAAGTGCAAAACGATATGCTTTCCATTAACATTTTTTCCGGAGCATCGATGTCGGTAGGTAGGCGCGTACGTGATCCGGGCGCCGGTGGATCGACCATCGTCGTATTGCGGGAAACGTTAAAACCCACTAAAAAGTCCGTGAAACAACGGCGACGCTTTTTTAAATAAACGCGTTAGCCCACGCAAGCCAAGAAATGAACATAGACGACACGTGGCAGCCGTGGCTACCACATACATCGTAGCCGTAGGCTAACCATCGATCCACAATTAGTGATGGACACATCCAGTAGCAAAGCCTGGATGACTTTGGAGGCAGCGCTGAAGATAATTCGTTTTAATGGTAAACAATAAAACATTTATTGCCGTCGCTCTCCTCGCTTTCAAAGTTTTAATGATGAAAGAAAATGGCCACACCGCCAGACTGCCGACAAGATATGCACAACTGTATAGTCTATAGAAACGTATTTGTTTTTTTCGGGTAAGTGATACGTCAGGTGGCCCTCTCACTTGCAAGTGGCAATAACCACATTATTACCCGTACACACTATCCGCAACCTTTTTCATTTACATGTTATTTGCCCATTCTTCTCACATCTAAAGGTCACCTGTCTACTTACTGTCATTATATCTACATGTTACCTCTCCATTACGTTTACGTGACAAGATCTTGTCATGTGAATATCACTAAATAACCTTCATCGAATTGATAATGCTGTTCCAAGTATTGCATGATTTCAAAAATTCAAATGACAAATTAAACGCGCATCTCACACAATTAAGCTTCCCTTTCACTGTCTCGTTCATTTTTTAGGCTAGCATAAGCTCTGATCATCAACTAATAGGGGTGTAATTCCCTTCCATCGATTCTACACGAGCATGCATGGCTAAGTAAGAGGCATCCTAGTACGTGACATTTTAACCACGTATGGCCGAGTGTGTCATTAAGGACGATTCGTACAGATCTGAGCAGCTTATTACTCACGCTGCATTTATCGCTGAACACACGGACGAACCGAACATAAATGCGCGCGTGCATTCACCTACAGTGTGAATATCGAGGTATACACGCGAACGCTAGTGAAAGCAGTGAACGCTAGATCGCGCAGCGCTATGGCGCAGCGCGTAAATGTCGGCGAACAAACGTCAGGACGCGTCGCACATTCACTAGACGAAATCCGAGGAAAAAAACTGCCACGGAGAGAAAGCACACATCGCTGTTGCGCGTTTCGAGTATACTTGACACTTCATCCTCCTCCTCCCCCTCATCGACTGGGGGGAACAAGAGACAAAATACATCGAGGTCAGCATTGCGTCATCTAATCGTATAATGCGTTGCTATCGCAACCCAGCAAAAAACCATCTCGACACGTCGCGCTCATTGCGATGGAAGTCCCAGTGCATGCTCAAAGAAAGCGTCGCACACACGCGTCGGTCGCAAGGTCGCACGAAATGTCAGCCCCAGAGGCATTAATGAATTAGATACCTTGTACTCGGTCACCGGTGCAAGTTGATTGCATTCAGAGTGACTTAGGATGAGCACAGATCGAGGAGTGTTTGATCGAGGGCGTCGGCAAGCACACATGGGGTACACGTATGGACGCGCGAACGCACTAGTGAACGGACGAAATCTTCAATGACGACTTGACGGCTTCATAACGTTTAATAATAAAGTTTCATGAAGGTTTTCTAGGTGCCTTTCTAGTATGCTTCGAAAAAACTAAATGTGTTCACAAACAATCATAAAAACGCACGATATCTTAAATTTTGTCTTGACGGCTTCGTAACACCTGAATGTTCATGAAGGACTCCAGTGCCTTTCTATACATGTTTCAAAAGACTCTCAATGTATTAACAAACATGCAATTGAACAATTGAAATAGACGCCATTGTAAATCAAGACGAAATAGTGGAATAGGCAGCACCTGAAAAAAGGCAATATAATAGCCTCGTTCACACGAGACCTCGTATTTATGAAATACG